AAAAAAAAAACCTGCTGCCCGCCGTGCCCTCCATCCCCGTTGTGTCCAGCCTCAAGCCCAATCTGCCCAACATCACCCTGCCCAACTTCGGCGACCTCACCTCCAAATTTGTGCCCAATTTCACGCTGCCGGACGTGTCGAGCCTGGTGCCCGCAAAGCCAAACATCACCGCCCTGATCCCCACCACCCCCGCGTCTGTGGCCAAGCCGGACCTGAATGCCCTCCTAGCCAAGATCCCCTCCACCCCCTCCATCCCCGGCCTGGACAAGCTTGCCAACCTCACCCACCCCCTGCTGTCAGCCGTGAGCAGTTGAGCCAAGGGAATTGGCGCGCTGCGCGCGCCCCGGCTGGGCCTCGGCTGGCAAGGCCTTGGCGCGGCCCGGGGTCGCTGACCTCGACACATATTGCACAGATCAAGACCGCAAATGCCTGCATGTCGGATTGCATGCCTCAGTTTTAGTTAAGACACCTTGTGGGGAGAGAAACAACCTATTCCTTTTGGCTGTGCAACATCAGCCGTCACTGCCCCTCTCCCCGGCACCGACAAGCTACGCCGGAGGCATCCAGTGCACCCTGCATATGGGCAACACAACACATGTCCACACGCGCCCTTGGTGCGTCATTTCTCGTCTCTCCGGTCCCCTGGCGCAATTGGCGCCGGGTGCACCCAGTGCATCCTGCATGTGAGGTTTGCAACACCCCAGCATCATTCCAAGCTAGGGGGCGGCTAGCGCTGCGCATGATTGACGCTGTGAAAGCTGTAAGACGTATGTAACCCTCTTTGCCGGTCACCTTCCGCACTGCGGATTACGGTAACATGGCAAGGATCCAAGGTTTTTCTTCAAGCTCGTGGATCCACAATCTTGCCTGTGATTGACGTGCTTTGCCCCCCATTTAGTCTGAAGATCCAAGTTCTGCCATGTCGGTGCTCGTTCAAGGCGCTGGACGCAGGCGCTATGCCAAGGAGCTGAGGCCTAATGCTGGACTTACGCATTGCGACATGCAACGAACTGTGCGGGGCTCTAGGGATGCAGGGCTTGGGATGCAGCCCCAGCCCAGGCGCGCCATGCGGCGCCCTACACTTAGCTAATTCGATTGCGACCCTTGCCGACGTCACCCCATTCACCCTGGACTGTACACCCACAGGATGTACGAATTGGATTTGGCCGGCATCTTCCACTAAAACTATGTGGTATCTAAATTGAGCTACGCAAGAGCATACGTGCACATACCTCTATGCGCCAGCCTCGCTGCGCGTCCCATGATCCAATGGGGCACAGGATCTGATATCGATCCAACGCTGGCTGCGCCGCGGGGTGGAAGCCTTTGCAGCATACGTAGCGCGGCCGGTAGCGCGTTCCAACGTTATTGGTTCAATCTAAGTGGGCAGAGGAGTTACATACCCTGCCGAAACTTGGGCTGTGCCATCATGCCAGGTGGCGGACACACGTGTGCTCTCCCGCTTTGTATGATAAGCGAGTTTCAAGAAGAATCCTACCGCGTTTGAATATAGTGCGCCGGCAGGACGCCAGCTGGTTGCCCTAGCGTGGTCGATGCCACCGCGGGGTGTGCGATGCAGCCGCTGACAGGAGGCGACAGCATCGTTCGCCAGTCTAGCGGCAGCTTGTTCCACTTGCCCGGGTTCGCTTTCCCCAGCGATGCTGCTGCCGGCACCAGCAGAGGCGGCGCCCACGGCAGCAGCAGCAGCAGCATCAACGGCAGCGGCGGTGGCAGCAGCGGCACCCTCGGCTTGCAGCAGCGGCTGGCAAATCTCTTTTCACTTGTGCGGCGTCAGCAGCGTGGCTCAAGCCGAGCCGCGGCGTCCGCATCGCCCCATGCGGCAGACCTGGTCCCTTGGACGGTGGTTGAAGAAGCGATGGTGATGGCTAGGGATGCGCTCCAGGCAAAGCAGCGAGTGGCAGAGGTGAGGGGCGCCCTGCCGCAAGATGAGGAGGGGGATGGGGGGACGGCACATCCGAGTGCTCAGGGCGGCGCGCCTGATAGATCAGGGCGGCGCGCCTGATAGACCATGCAGCTATTTGCTGCATGCTGGTCCTCATGCCTTTGTGCGTGAGGGGCCTAGGACGAGGGCAGAAGAGGGTTGCAACACCGCCCCCGCTGGCGCGACGCAGGTGTTGAGAGCAGAAGCCGAGCAGTTGAACGCGCATGGCGCTGACAGCGAGGTCTGGAGCAAGGTGGGCTGCATCTTGGAGCAGCCACTGGCCGTGCTTGCACACCCGTCCGGCAAGCCAGCCCCAGCTGTCGCGGTGCACAGACGGGCCCCGGACTGCCATTCACAGTCCCCGTCGCTCTAGCAGCGAGCAAGCCGCAGCGAGGCAACCCCTTGTGTTGTCAGCATGGTCCCGTGCAGCTCCCCCCCAACTGGGCTGCCTTCAAAAGCACCCTGCATCAACACCACCACACACACGCACATGCACACGTTCGCACGCCCCCCCCCCCCCACCCACACACACACTCACATGCATACGTGCGCGCCCACACACACGTACATGCACACGCACGTGTGCCCCGCAGCGCGCCGAGCGCGCCGAGATCGACTCTGGCTCTCTGCTGGAGCAGCTGGAGAGCCTGATGCAGGCCAAGAGGGCCATGGCGCACGACCGCGCTGAGCTGGGGCGCGGCCTCAGCCTGCTGCGCGCGGAGCGGGAGCTCCTGTGCCACCAGCTGCAGGGTGGGGCGCGGGGCGCGGGCGCGCAGCACAGGGGCCGGTTATAACCAGTTGTGATCCGGGCCTTGGATTATAACCCTGGTCTTGTGTTGAAAACCTGGCATTTTGCTGGCTGTCGGTTGCACCTAAGAACAGTCAAGCTCTCTTTGCTTGCTGCTGCTTGCACAAGTGATTAGTGTGACTTGATTGGCAACGCTGCCGCTCCGCCTTTCCCCCTGATCGCTGCAGTGGACCCCGCCACCAACCTGTGCCGCGCGGTGGAGTCGGCCCTGGTCGACGCGCGGCGCGCTGGCGTGCTGGAGGCGCAGCTGCGCGCAGTGGTGCGGCAGCGGCGGCAGCTGCGGCTAGAGGTGGAGGCGGCGCGGGAGGCCAGGGCCCGGCACAAGGCGGTGTGGCAGGTGGGGCCGAGGGAGGGTGGGCCCTGGCGGCGTCCCCGCACCTGAAATCGTGGGCCTGCGGCCGCGCTGGATATCCTGCAGCGATGGCTTGCAGACGGGCAGGCGGCGTCCGATCGCGGCGCCCTGCGTCGGCAGCCAGCCGATGCGTCGGCTGCTTGCTGCCTTGTGTGGGTGACCTGCGCTCACCCGCACCCGGCCTCACCATCACTCGTGCCACCCTGGCTGCCACAGGCACGGGAGGCGGCCTATCGGGAAGCTCTAGCAGCCGCAGGCGCCGTCGAGCCGGATCTACCCCCCGTGCCCGGCGGCCCCCAGCAGGGCAGCAGCCGCGCGGATGGCAGCTCCCGCCACCGGCGCCTCGGGCCGCGGCAGCGGCGGCCGGGCTCGAAGCGCGCCAGCTCAGCTGGCGGGGACGAGGGCAGCAGCGACAGCGGCGCGGAATGCGGCAGCAGCAACTCGAGCGCAGCAGATGCGGCCGAGGGGGCGTGCGGCTGCAGCAGCAGCCCGGGCAGCAGCAGCCTCATCACTGTGCCAGCATTCTCGTCCGCAGACACGGCGCAGGGGCCCCACTCGCAGGTGGGGCGCGCGGGGGGG